GAAATCTATTCAGTTGGCTTCACAATGAACAATGCAAAATAATACCTACTACCATCGCAGCTTTCTACCCTGAAAATTCCCACCTCATTTTGCACAAAAACACTCCTGGCCCATACTCATGGTCATATATTCAAATTCATTAATGATAGCTTCGCCACTCTACAATCTCCAACCCCACTGTTTTCCCTTTTGGTCACATTCCATATCCTGTTTTAAATTTAATTCCTTCGAGTCTGTCCGTTGAAAGACTTCTCACTTACCATCACAATCAAACCGCTAAACTGTTGTCTATCCATTTGGCACAGCTGTAGATTTACTCATCCATTACTTCAGTCCCTTCTTTGATGCAATTCAGATCACTGCTTACTGGTGCAGCCACCACCTTCATATCACATTGCACACACCTGGCACACAACTGGCTTAGTCATCCATAGACAAATCTGTCTTGATCAATTTAGGTGTTACAGACAGAGAAAAGATAAATTGAAACCCCCATTCCCTTTTCCTTCTGTCTATAATCAGTGCAGCTTATTTTTGAAGAAACTGACATGTGTTCCCAAGTCACCAGTTAAACAGCACTGCAGCAGAATCTTATGGATATTAATGAAGAGGAATGTTTATTCACAGTCACCCTAAAAAGTTTAATGCTGCAGCAAATTGTACACCAGACACCCAAGGAAGATATAATTAATTAAAGTGGTGCCCTTCTACAAAACATTCAACCCAAACAGAATTGTTAGCAATTCACATGTCTTTGAGAGTCCAGCGAAAGAAGGAGATTTTCCCCACTCTGGGATTGTAGTCAGCTAAATTGGGATGGCTATGGTCACATCTAGATGTACTGGAGGGTTCCTTCAAAGTGAAGGCCATTTAGCAGAACAGATTCAGAGGCCCTAGCGGTTAACTTCCTTTCATTACAAACTCAATCTACACCCAAATACTCATGCCATTCCATTCTTGACCAAATTTATTTGGTTTCTTCCTCGATCCTTAGGCAGAAATTCATTTGCTTCCTCAATCCCTTCCCAACTTAATTCCTAGGCATACTACATCTCTGTGAGCTCCCACTTAACCAGGCTTATGAACTGTTTCTCACCTACCTAGCCCTTACTTTGCAAAGCAACTCTCTCCATACTTTCTAAATATTCAACCGTTCCGTCCTCATTGATAGATAGCAGAGACCCTTTGAAAGGGAGATTAACTGACTTCAGATCTTCCTTGTAATTCAGTACTCATGCCCCTCCAATCAGTTCCGACAATGCCAAAATCTCCTGACCAAGTTAGGCCACATTTGAAAGTCTTGCATCAAGGAAGCCAAGCAAAACTAGAGTCAATGGGAATCCGGGAATACTCTCCGCTGGTACAAAGATCATGGTGTTGGAGATCAGTCATCTGAACTCCAGGACATCTCTGCGGGAGCTCCTCAGGGGGAGTATACTAGGCCGAACCATTTTCGGCTGCTTCAACAAAGATTTTCTGTCCATCCTAAGGTCAGAAGTGAGGATGCACAACCAGTGAGAAATGTTCAGTATCATTCACGACTCCTCCAACAATGAAGCAGTTCATGGCCAATTACGACAAAACCTGGACAATATCCAGTTAGGGTTGACAAGTGGCAAAAAACATTGACTCCCCACAAATGCCAGGCATGTAATGACATAATCATCACTAAATCCCCTACTAACATTATCCTGGGAGTTACCCTTGAGCAGAAATTGAGATGGAATTGCCATATAATCACAGTAGCTTCAAGATCAGAGTCTAGAAATCCTGCAGTGTGTAAATCAACATTGCGATGGAATACTCTCCATTTGCCTGCAGGAGTACAGCTCCAACAAGACTCAAGCAGCATGACACCATGCAGGATGGAGCAGCCCACTTGATTGGCATCACATCCATAAATATTTACTCCCTCTACCACTGCAGTATACAGCCTGCAAAATGCACTGCAGAAATTCACTAAATCTCTTTAACCGGCACCTTCCACCCCACAGTCACTTCCATCTAGAAGGACAAAAGCAAAAAGGTACATGGGAGTACCACCATCTGCAAATTTCCTTCCAAGCTGTGCACTGTCCTAACTTAAATATATTGTTGCTCTTTCATTGTCACTGGGTCAAAATCCTGGAAATCTCTCTTAATGGGATTGTGGGTGCACCTGAATCAAAAGGGATTGCAGAGGTTCTAGGAGGCAGCTTACCACCTTCTCAAGGACGAGTAGGGATAGGCAGTAAATGCTGGCCCAGCCAGTGCCACCAATATCCATGAGTGAACAAAACAAAAGTTGTGAATGACAGTGCTTCCATGTATCCTTGGATCATTACTCTCCTTGACTTCTCTACAGTCTCTAACCATCAATTATATAGATTTACCTGCAATGCATCTCCCTAGCTTAGAGGGAATCATTAGTTGGTCCTCTCTACCTAGCCAACTATAACCAGAATTACTGCACTGTTTCTCTTCTCATCCATGCATCAACAAGCAGAAGCTGTTGATAGGATAAGGACCAATGTGATACACTAGTTAATTATAAGCTTTCCATATAATTTCATAGCCAAATCATTCAAGTAAACTTGATTCTGATAAGTAGAACTGGTATGGTCATAACCACCTCTATTGACACAACCATCCAGGTGACAGAATAAATGGGAATACTAACTCATGCTTAATTACCTCAGGTAAGGTATAGGAAATGCAGGCAACTGAGGTCAGCAATTTTCCCAGTCAGCAAATTCATTTCACAGTGAAGAGCAAGACGGAAAGGGTGCATAGCCTTGTGCTAATCTGAAAAGTAAGGTTCATAAATCACAAGATGTGAACCCCAAGTTTCAAAAGTTCATTCACGACTGCCCACCCACTATCAGTAGTGCCTGGAAACAAAAGGAGAGCTCAAAAGGGCACAAAGAACTCGGGACAGAAGTTGAAAACAGGTTAGTAAGTAAAAGAGAAATCAGAAAATCAAATTACCAAGGAACACAAGTGTTCTATCAACACAAATTCAACAAAAAAGGAAAACTAACTGGGGATTCAAACAAGCAAGAAAATCTCACAGGTATTACTGAAATGGCAAAGTACTGAACAGCTATTTCAAGTTTAAGTAAAAAATAGATAACAAGAGGGGCAATTACTAGAGGATGACCTTAAAATGATCTGAATTGGGGAGAAAGGTTAAAAACTAAAAGTGACAAAACTAAAAAGAAAGAAGCCCAGCTAATGCTGGTCCTGTGTACAAAATAATGTATATAGAACAAAGCGTGAATACTGCAAATCTGTCAGTGTTATAAAAAAAACAAAAAATTTATACTAAAAATTGAAGGAGAAGCATTCAAGGAAATCCACCAACCAGCTTAAGATAGTAATAAAATAACCACATCCCAAGAATGAATAAAATGTCTACACATCAGCCATTATTGCAACCAGTCTTGTGACCCCAACTTTTACCCCGACCTACTGCAGGCCAGCAAGTGGAACTGCCCTCCTAATTTGGTAGTGCACTGAGAAACTCAAGGAGGCTTTCACTGCAAATCTGTAAGCGAAATCTGTTCATTAAACACAAGTTCAGTTATTTTTCTCTTAAGCAGAACTTAGATGCAAATGCTATTTGTTCCACAAGCATCATCGTTTTGGTTCTGTGCAGCCAAAAACTCTAAGCTACTGTATTTCATGATTAAAGATTACACCGGTTTCATTACCTGAGCATAAAAAATTCAGTTTAAAATTAATCACCAGTCAACTAAGTGAGCTTAACAAAAAGTTTTTCTTAAGTCTTTGCTACACTATTCCGCAACTATAGTAAATTCATCAATATTCTCAATTGATTATACTATGATCCCATCTGATATAATGACTGGACAAGTCAGATTCCAGACTGAAGTTTGGCTTGAGAGATTTTATTTAAAATCTATTAAACAAGGTGGTTTTTCACTGAAACACAAGCACGCAATGCTGTAGATCTGGTTTTAAAGAACAAAACAGAAGCTTATCATACAAAGGAAATAAAAGAAACAAAATATAAAATATGTTTGACAGATTTCAAAAACAAGAAAAATAGATTACTGCATCTAACCGAACATATTATAATATTCAAACACCAGACAGATTTCCCTTTTCACCACATTTATAGGTCTGATTTAACTGTTGTTTTCAATTCCCAGTCTTGGCAGCTTGATAGTTCTTCCTTCTGCCATCTGGCCCTAGACTCTTCCATAAGGGAGAATAAAATCTTGCTGTTTCAGTAAGGTCTCCTTTCATGCTCCTAAACTCCAATGAGCATGAGCCCAAACTACTCAACCGCTACTCATAAGAAAACCATACCCATGAAATTCCTTGACTGCCTCCAATGCTAATTTATCTTTCCTTAGTTACATTCTGATTTATTCGCTGTCTGATCCTAAAATTCGCTCAATACAAATGCCCATTACCGCTTCGGGAACTCCCACATACTTGTTCAAAACAAAAAGCTTCAGAAATACTGATGAGTTCATCATTAAGTCCCCTCACAACAGACCAAAATCCACAAGCCATTAGTTCAAAATCTAAACTCTAAACTCTAAAATAAATGGCATTAAACATATATAAAACACATTTCATAGACCATGATTAGCAAAAAGGATCCACTGCATCTTATCGATTTATCAGGAAAAAATATTACCTGAAAACTGATTTAGACACAGCTTTGGAGAGGATACAGTTTCTTCACCTTGTTCTGTTGATTGAGCCAAATATTCATGAAGCTTCTGCACTAATGTATTCAGCTTGCTTTCACTGCAAAAGGAAGTGTTATATATTTTTATAAAAATTACTACGTTGTCCAATCTATTTGCATTTGTTCAGAGTGCAACTACAGACTCCCAAAATTAAGTAACTGCCAAGGAAAAAAAACCTATTTAAAAACAAACTATCCCGGCAGCCAGCATCGAAAAGGACCATCAGACTTTCAGAAAGACCATTTGACTGTCCACTTGGTCAGAAAATAGTGTATAATGTACACCCGTGATTTTCAATCGTAGTGCCATGAAAACCATCCAAGTCTGCCATGAAATTCTGCACAAAGCTCATGAAAATCAATGTAATACCAACATCTTAATAGTCTACTAAACAAAAAAACCAGCTTCCATGTCTTTCTCCATGACAAACAGTGATGCAAAACGTGTGTTTAGGATCGCACCCATCTCGTTTTTCCACACACAGACAACCATGTTGATCTTTAAGGGGGTCCTACTCTCTCCTTAGTTTTTTTTAATCCTTAATATCCTTTTAGAATCTCTTTGGATTCTCCTTAACTTAATCTGCCAAAGTGATCTCATGTCCCCTTTATGCCCTTCTGATTTCCCTCTTAAGTATACTCCTACTGCTGTTATACTCCTCAAGGGATTCACTTGATCCCAACTGTCTATATACGCCTCCTTTCTCTTGACCAGAGTCTCAATATCTCTAGTCATCCTGCCAGCAGTGCCCTTCACAACAACAGGAACCTGCTGGCCCTAAATTTGTTATCTCGCTTTTGAAAGCTTCCCACCTGACAGACATCCTTTTACGTGTGAACAGCCTCCTCTGTCAACTTTTGGAACTTTCTGTCTAACCCCATCAAAATTTGCCTAGCCTCAATTTAGAACTTTAACTTGTGGACCAGGCCTATGCTTTTCCATAACTAATTTAAAACTAACAGAATTATGGTCACTGATCTCAATACCACAGTCACTTGTCCGGTCTTGTTTCCCCAAGAGGAGATCGAGTTTTGACCCTTCTCTAGTTGCAGTAAGGCTTCTACTCACATAATCCAAACCCCTTGAAATAACAGACAACATTCCATTAGCCTTCCTGATTACCTGCTGCACCTGCATATCAGGTTTGTGTTTCTGTACAAGCATCACTATGCCCCTTCTATTGCAGCTTTCTGCAGTTTTTCTCCTCATTTAAATAATATCATTGTTTTCCGTTCTCTCTTTTGAAGTGTACAGCTTCACATTCTCCCCCACTGAACTCCATGTGGCAACATTTTGTGCACATACTTATCAATATTGCTCTGTAAACTGTTTGTATCCCTCTCAAAACTGCTTTTCTACCGATTTTTCTATCGTCTGCAAGTTTGACAACGCATTCACTTCTTTCCAAGTCATTCATATTGTAAATAGTTGTGGTCTTAGCACTGATCCCTGTGAATCGCCACTGGTCACGGGTCACTAACCTGAAAAACAGAAACTCCTTATCCCCACTTGCTGTTTCCTGACCATGAGCCAATTCTCTATTTATGACAACATAATATCATAGGCTCTTCTGACGTAATCTCTTGTGAAGTACCTTGTCAAACACCTTCTCAAAGTCCGAATCCAATACATCTACTGGTTCCCCTCTATCCACTTCAGTTGAGACATCCTTGAAAAACTCCAAAAAAATTAGCCAGATACGAGTTCCCTTTCACGAAGCCAGACTGCTAGGTTAGATTATGACTTTCTAGATTTGATCTTACTTCCTTCGTAATTTATTCCAATACTTTTCTAACAATAGTCATTAGGCTAATCACCCTACATTTAGCCACTTTTTGCCTCCTTTCCTTTGTGAATGGGGTGTCACATGAGCAGTTTTCCCAACGCTCTGGTACTTTTCCAGAATCAAAGGATTTTTGGAAAATTAAACCAATGCGTCCACTATTTCTGTAGATACCTCCTTTCAGATCCTAGGACACAAGCCATCAGGGTCAAGGGACTTATCTGCCTTTAGTCCCATTAGTTTATCTAATAGTACTTCTTTAGAAATGGTGACGGCAATTAATTTCTCCCCCATATTCTGTAGTATTAATGGGATGTTTGAAGTATTTTCCATGTAAAGATTGACGCAACATCCCTGCTTAACTCCTCTGTCATTTTCTTGCTCCCCAAAACCACTTCGCCAGATTCATTTTCTAAGGAACCTATGTTCACTTTGACCCCCTCTTTCTTTTTGTATTTAAAGGATCTCACTGTCAGTTTGTATATTCCTCACTAATTTGCCTTCCGTTTATTTTTTATGTCTTTATTATCTTTTTAGACCTCCTTTTCTGAAATTATCCCAGTCTTCAGGGCTATCACTGACTTTGGCCTCCTTACATGCTTTTTCTTTCAACTTTATACTCAACTTCCTTCATTAGCCATGGTTAGTTAGAATCTTTCCTCCCTTCTGTATTATTGCCCACAGTCATGAATTAACTCCTTAAAAGTCAACTAATGCTTGATTACTGTCATTCCCGCTAATCTAATTGTCCAGTTCACTTTAACTACCTATCTTCATTTCATTATAATTCCCTTAAGTTAAACAGTTGTTTGAGCCAGGTTTCTCACTCTCAAACTAAATATTAAATTCTACTATGTTACAATCACTGCTTCCGAGGAAATCTTTTACTCAGAAGTAATTTATCAAACCTGCCTCATTAGCCATTACCAGATCCAAGGTAGCCTGCTCCCTGGTTGACTCCATGACGGTTTTCTAGAAACCTATCCTTAATGTACTCTTTGAATTTATTGTCGTAGCTACCCTTTCCAATTTGATTATCCCAATCAAATGAAGCTTAAAGTCAACCACAATTATTCTACTCTTTTTACATGCTCCTATCAATAGTTGATCCATAGCCTTTCCTCGAAGTGGCTACCTGTTTGGGGATCTGTACATTACTCATTCAAATGTCTTCATTCTTTTGCTGATTTTTACTTCCACCCCAATGGACCCTTCATCATCCAAGCTCATATCTCTCACAACTGTCCTCATTTCATTCCTTATTAACAGTGCTACCATTTCCCCACCATCATTTCCATCCCACCTGTCTCTCCAAAATGTCAGATATCCCTGAACATGAAGTTCCCAGTTTTTGATCTCCTTGTAACTATGTTTCTGTAATGGCTGAAATCATATTCATTTGCCTCAATTTGTGGCATCCATTCATCTACCATATTTCACATGCTTTGCACATTATAAGATACAAAGACTTTAAGTTTATTCTATTAGTGGATTTCCCTACAGTTTTATGGTTCCTTGGTATAAATGACATTCACACATTCGGTCTTGTCCTTTTAATTTTTGGTAACAATCAGCCTCATCATCTACTTTCTCCTTTACCTTGGATTTTATATATTTTCCATGAAATGAAGCTCCCCTATCCCCAACAATTCAGTTTAAAGTCCTAACTACAGCCCTTGTCATGCAATGCACCCGGACTCTGGTCCCAGAATGATTCAGGTAGAGCCCATCCCATCAGAACAGCTCCCTCCTTCCCCAGTACTGGCACCAACAGTGCATGAATCTGAACTGATATCTCCCACACCAATCTTTCAGCCACACATTTACCTCTTTAATCTCGTTGATCCTGTGCCAATTAGCTTGTGGCTTAGATAGTAATCAGGAGATCACTACCTTTTGAGTGCACTTTCTAATTTAGCCCCTAGCTGCTCACATTCCCTCTTTCTCCCTAAGTCATTGGTACCTACATGGACCGCAACAAATGAATCTTTTTGCTCCCGCTACAAGTTCCTCTGCAGCCCAGGTGAGATATTCAGAACCTGGGTACCAAACTGGCCACATAACCTGCAGAACTCTCTCCTGGCCAGAGACTAGGGTCTATTCTCCTGACTGTACTATTCCCAAATACAATTACATTTCTATTTTCCCTCCCACCTCCTGAATGGCTCCCTGTATCATGGTGTTATGGACAGTTTGTTCATCCTCCCTACACCAGCGCCCTATTCTAATTCACACAAGGAACAAGAATCTCAAACAATTAGATAAACTCAAGGATTCAGGTTCCTGCAACACTACTTCCTAGATGCCTGTAGATGCCTCTAGCTGCCTCGCTCATAGCTACACGTTCCTGTCCTAACTACATGACTGAATACTTAGTAGTTAATCTAAGGGGAATGGCCCCTCCTGAAACAGTGTCCAGGTAACTCTCCCACTCCCTGATGTATCACAGTGCTCTAAGCTCAGGCTCGAGCTCATCAAAAGCGCACTCAACAACCCTTCTTTAGAAATCTGCATTGTCATTCTTCCTCAGCGGAATCCACAAAAACTCTCTCAAATGCACATCTGTCAAACTCAAAGTTTCAATATTTTTCCCCCAATAATGGTAAACTTATGAGCAAACACTTACGTGACCAGTTCAAAATGTTATACCAGAATATTCACAAGATAATGCTAACTCTATGTTAAACTATTACTTTAATCATCACAGCACCTGGACATAATGCATCAACTTCCCACAACAGTTAAACTAGTGGATCTGTAGCTACTTGGTTTCTCCCTCCTTTCCTTTAGAAAGGAAGTGAAATCTGCAATTTTCCAATACAACCGCACAATTCCAATATCTGGAGAGCACTACAAAATTATACCCAGTGCTTATACAATTTACTCACTGACTTCTTTTAACATTGACATGAAATTAATTTAGGTCTTGAAGACTTACCCACTGAAAGTACTATTATTTTCTCCAATACTATTTTCTTACACATTAAAGACTCAAATACCCTTCCCTGGACACAATTTTAGGTTTATGACTGTGACTCAATATTTTGTCCCTTGACATGAAATGCATACAAAGTATTAATTTATAAAGTTATAAATGAAGCAGCCAATACAGCTCTTTAATAAACCCACATTCTCTACTACAAAGTTAAGAAAATAAATATTTTAACAGCCTCCCTTCTACTGAAGCTACTTCAAACCAAACTTATTCTGAAAACACTGCTCACGTTTTAATACTGCAATTTGCACCAGAACAATTGAGACACGCCACAGTCTGA